CTTTCCTTTCCTTTCCTTTCCTTTCCTTTCCTTTCCTTTCCTTTCCTCTCCTCTCCTCTCCTCTCCTCTCCTCTCCTCTCCTCTCCTCTCCTTTCCTTTCCTTTCCTTTTCCTTCCCTTCCCTTCCCTTCCCTTCCTCTCCTCTCTTCCCTTCTCCTCTCCTCTCTTCCCCTCTCCTCCCCCTTTCTCTCTCTCTCTCTGTCTTTCTTTCTTTATTTTTGTTTGAAAACATTTCATTTCTCATCCAAGAAGCCCCCTCAGCTCTGACTGGATGGTGCAGAATGGAAGGATTAATATTCTTTGTAGACAATTGGTCATTTCCATTCTTTTAGAGAGTCGTCGTTGAGGCCATTTGCACTACTCAAGTGACCCTGAGGATACAGATAAACCTCCAAGCAGCCTCAAGGACTCTCTAAAAGGAATGCAAATTACCAGCTGTCTGCAAGGAGTATAACTCCTTCCATTTCCCCACCATCCAGTCAGAGCCCAAGCAGCTTCTTGGATGAGAAGCAAAATGGGTTGAAAGAAAAACGAAGAAAGTCCAGTTGCCTCCTGAAAAAGCACCTTTGGGACAACCATGACCTGGATGACTGAGAATCTCCATAGATATTTTTGTTTGAATCAATTTTCTTCAAAAATATTAAAAACAATACTGAGAAATTGATTAACTTTTTATTAATGCAAACGCTTACAAACACAACATGTGTGTGTTTTTTTCTTCTTCAGAACCCTTCTATTTGTATTTGGATTTAATCCATTAAGGAGACCCTCAGATTTCCTGTCTCTTTTTTTCCATTTAAAGTGTTTTGTAAATGCACAAATGCATGATAAAGACCCCTAATAAATAAAATATATTCATTCAAACTTATAAGCTATTTTATTCATCACAGACACCTTGACTTAACAGATTAAAAGTATCTGTAAAAAGGTTCAAAGAGAGATATTCATCATCCCATTACAAACTTAATACATTTCTGATGTATTCAATTTCTGATACCAAACTCTCCCCGGCTGGTATGCCATATTTTAGTATATTTTTCAAGATTTGTAATCTCAGATATTTTCCTTGCGTTCTGTGTGATGGAATTGCAGCCTGAAGAAGGAGAGGGGAGGTGGGAGAACAAGAGACTCTTCAGTCAGTCCTGAACTGGGTGGGGTAAGGAGGGAAAATTTCAGGGTACAGGTAGTCCTCGACTTATGACCACAATTAGGACCGGGAAATTTCCATTGCTAAATGAGGTGGTGATTAAGTGAGTCATGCCCAGTTTTATGACCTACTTGAATCACACCGTTGTTAAGTGAATCTAGCTTCCACTATTGATTGTGCTTGGTGGAAGCCAGCTTGGAAAGGTGACAAGTGGTGATCACATGTCCCCGGGATGCTACAATCATTGTAAATACATGCTGGTTGCAAGAAAACCACCCAGCTCAGAGAGCATCAAGGCCTCCATAGTCCCTTTCCTCCTCCTCCTCCTCCTCCTCCTCCTCCTCCTCCTCCTTCTATTTGACTGCTGAAGGGGCCAGTGGTCGACGGACCACAACCCAACCAGCTCCAAGCATGGCTGTCCCTTTAATGAGCTTTCTATATTTATCCGTATTCTTCTTGCTTAAATGAACCATAATGCTCGGTCGGTGCAATTTGTTAACAGGAAACACAAGAGAATTACAAAAGCGGCTGGACAAGGGGAGTATAAGGAAGCAAACACTCCGAGAAGTCACTTGTTTACATTGATCTTCTGCTATTTTCAGGTGATGAAGATGGTGATGACACTCACAGCGGCGGAATCGGGCTGCATCCATTATGTGAAACGTCCTGGAGCAGCCCTTGAGCCAGGCTGCATAATTGCTAAAATGCAACTGGATGACCCAAGCCGAGTTCAACAGGTAAATTTGGAGGCTTAGCAGCAAGGGCTATCTCTTCACAGAGATTTAAGCTAAAAATAATAATAATTGGGTTGGCTTCTGGGGACATCTGTTCGTTTTCTTTGGTCTTCTGCTGGGTGGGTGGGGTTGGGAGGTCCCACTCTGACCTAGAGCTTTGTGATCTCCTGGTGGTCTCCCATCCAAGCACCAGCCAGCTCTTAAACTTGGTTAGCGTTTAGAGATTGGGGAAAGTCAGCTAGGGGCTACTTATTGGCTCCAAATTTTTTTGGTCATGATGGAGGAGATGAATCCAAGAAATGGATCCACAGTCTTATGAGCCACCTCATACAGTAGTATGTACACGAGTAGCCCCATGGTAAGATGGGTGGCTAACAACAACAACAATAATAATAACAATAACAATGTGGCCCACCGGAATACTTTTCAGGCCTCCTAGTTTTGCCTCATAATTAATAAGGAGACTTTTTCGGTTTTTCTTAGATTGGGCTACAGGTAGTCCTCGACTTATAACCATAATTGAGCCCACGTTTATAGTGTAGGTGGTCCTCAACTTACAACCATTTGTTTAGTGATGGTTAGAAGTTACAATGGCACTGGAAAAAAAAAACATTTGACCATTTTTCACACTTACATTCATTCATTCGTACATTTATTGCGGCATTCCCCATAGTCACATGATCAAAATTCACACACTTGGCAACTGACTCATATTTATGACGGTTGCGGTGTCCCCGGGGTCATGTGATCCCCTTTTCCCACCTACTGACAAGGTCGTAAAATGAGGCCAAATTCACTTAACAACTCCCTTGCGGTTGTCTTACCCGTAGTAAGTCACGATGTTTGCTAAATGGGTCATCTTGTGACTGTTCGATTTTAACAAATACAGGTCTTCTTCGAGTTACGAATGTAATGGAGCCTGCCCATTCCATTCGTAACCCAAGGATTTGTGGGAGTGAATCTCGTACCTTGGATGAGATCACTCCCTCCTTTCCCCAACGCATTGCTAATTGAACGCGTAGCTTGTTAAGTGCACACGAGGTATTTCAGGGTGGGGAAGGCCATGGGGGTCCTAGTGATGGAACAGACCACCTGCGTAAGACCACCCAAGGCCTCCCTGACCCAATGAAATACCTCATGCTCTCCACAATTGCTTCCCCCTCCAACCTACCAAGATCCAGCAAGCTGTTTCCTCTCCACCCTCTCAGCTCCATTTAGGCCTGCACAGAGGGGTGGGCTGGCAAAGTGCAGGATGAATGTTGCAGAGCCTCTGCGGTTGTTTGTAAGAGCAAACAACTGCCGTGATCTTGCAAGTTTCCTCGTTTCAGGACTTGTTCATAAACACCAGAGGGCGCTTATTGGGTAACTTCAAACGTTCGCTAAGGGAATGCTCGTAACCCGGGGATTACCTAAATATTGGTAGTGGTCATTAAGTGAACACTGTGTTCGTTAAGTGAACACATTGGTTGTTAAATGAACCCACTGTTCACTCTGAGGTGATTTTTGGCTGAAAACTGGAATCTTAACGCCAGTTTCCGGCAAAAACATCGTCGATCACAGTCACGTGACCGCAAGACTTCGCAAACGGCCTTAAATGTGGACTGGTTGTTGAATGACCAAAATGGGAGTAATGTGACTGCCAGGGGTTGGCAGGCAGTTATCAGAACTTTGAATCTGGATCATATGTACCTTTTTTGAGGTAACTTTGAAAGACATTTGAATCTGAGAAAGAAGCTTCAGCCCGGAAGATCTGAGAAAGTGATCCTTTCTCCTTTGAAGATAAAGAAGATGATTGCATAGGTACAACTCTCACAGTGCTGACTGGCTTGTGTTTTTCTTGTCCTCTTAAGGCCGACCTCCATACGGGAACCCTGCCCCAGATCCAGAGCACAGCCCTGCGGGGTGAGAAGCTTCACCGGATCTTCCATTATGTCTTTGACAACCTACTCAATGTGATGAACGGATTCTGCCTTCCAGATCCCTTTTTCACCAACAAAGTAATATCCGTTGCTTTCCTTTCCCCGCTTTTGGTGGCATAAACCATAGTTTAAGAGCCGTGGTGGCACAGTGTTTAGAATGTAGTATTGCAGGTAACTCTGCCCACTGCTAGCAGTTCGATCCTGACCGGCTCAAGGTCGGCTCAGCCTTCCATCCTTCCAAGGTCGTTAAAATGAGAACCTGGATTGTTGGGGGCCATAGGCTGACTCTGTAAAAACCGCTTAGAGAGGGCTGTAAAGCACTGTGAAGTGGTATATAAGTCTTAAGTGCTAGTGCTATCTTAATGCCTGTTTCCTAGTATGATTTGATTGCTTATTGTACCCTATGACTATGTTAAGTGTTGTACCTGATGATTCTTGACTCTTGACTCTTTTCTTTTATGTGTACAGAGAGTATTTGCACCAAGGCAAATTCCTTGTGTGTCCAATCACAATTGGCCAATAAAGAATTCTATTCTATTCTATTCTATTCTATTCTATTCTATTCTATTCTAT